ACACACACAAACACACACACATTCACACACATACACACACATACATACACACACACACACACACACACACACACACACACACACACACACACATACATACATATTGCCATAAAAACCCACAGCACACTCAAATCCACCCCATCTCACTGAATACTACATTTGGGTCTATACGAGTGACTGGCTGCCTGCATTACAGCCCTGAGTAGAGAGTGGGGTAAACTACTGCAAGCAATATACATAATATGTATATCTGTCGGTTTTGCTATTTTATTTAAACGTACATGTTTTTACGCTCCCATCAACACAGTTTAGATCAGGACCGACCCAGGCTGAGAGGGATATTACATCCCAACAGAAAGACGGAAATACAGTATGTTGTACTTGATACAAATACATCTCCCCACTCGAGAATCGAATTCGTGTCTCCTGCGTGCAACAGCGAAGTACAGATCGTACAGAACAAGATACAATGTAGTTCACTAGGCCAAAAAAGTGTCTGCGGAAGTCCGCGCATTAGTTGAGATGGCGCTGCAGTCTTTGTTTTGAAGCTCTCTTTCGTTTCTCCAGAAAAAGAAAAGGAAAAGCACAGTTCGTTAGTTTCACTGTTATTGTTTTTCACACAAGTAGGTTAACTCTGGTCTCAAAGTCAGCCCTTTTTCATAGAGGGCACTGCCAAATTTTGAGTACACTTTTTTTTAACAGATCGTACATAACAAGATAGTTCACTAGACCAAAAAGGTGTCCACGGAAGTCTACGGAAGTCTGCGTATCGGTTGAGAGGGCGCTGCAGTCTTTGTTCTCAAGCTCTCTTTCGTTTCTCCAGAAAAAGAGTAGGAATAGCACAGTTCGTTAGTTTCACTGTTATTGTTTTTCACACAAGTAGGGTAACTCTGGTCTCTAAGTCCGCCCTTTTTCGAAAAGGGCACCACCGAATTTTGAGTACACTTTTTTTAACTGGCTCAAAGAGAGGAGTGAACTATCTTGTCATGTAGGCCTACGATCTTTGGGCGAAGCGCCTAATCGCCCCACCTTAGACGCTGGTAACAGTGCCGCCACTCCCAAGGTTGTGAAAGTGGAAACTTGCCAGTTTGTCACAGGCCCAGTTTGTCACAGGCCTCGACTGTGCCCAGCATGATGGAAGTTATCACTGACACTCTCAAAGAGAATAAATGAGCGATTTTATTGATTGTATGAATTGAATTTTACTTTTCAATTGTTTTTAACGAAAGAGCATTCATTGTTGAAATTTTACAGAGCAATTTTCTTTGATTTGCAAACAAAAAAGGAAGAAATATTGAACAACACAAGCTGAATTGACATTTTAGAGGGACTATCTCTACGCCACCAATTTGAGGGTGGAGAATAAAAAACTTAAGTTACAACTGCAGTGGTAAAGTGCTGTAATTATGACTGTCATCAATACTCAAAAACTTAAATATTAAATTGTGAGAAACTGGGCCTGTAACAAACTGGGCAGCC